AAAAAACCAATGGCAAGAGTTTTCATCTTTAGCGCGATATTTCGAGTGAGAAAAAACGTCATTACTTTGGGCCGACCCAATCCTTTTTCAATGGGATCGTAGTTACATTGTCGGAACTTTTTCCGAACCCCGACAAAATTTCTCGTTTGTTAACTTTTCCTATCCTTAGTAGTAGCACATAACCGTTGACTTACAGGGCAGTTGCCAGTCTGCCCTAGACCCTTGAAGCCGAAGAAACCGATCGCAATGCCAGGACATTTATACCTGCTAAGGGCGGAGATACTCGTTGTAGCAGGTCTCCTGACGGGAGCGACCTACTTCATACAGATCTGAACTGGGGCAATTCTTTCGGGGAAGAGCTTCTACCACCCAGCGAATCATGCAGTACACCCTAAGAGATGAAGTTGATCACAATGATTAGACGGCAGCTTTCAGGCTGAAGCTATGTGCGGATTGAGCGAACCATCGCGCCTACCCCATTGATCTGCTCCGCCTGCCTTTCAAGATAGCAACGAAAGTACGCGCATCATTAGGCACAGCATTACTGACTCCCCTATACGATCAGAGTGGAATCAGTTCAGTTACGAATTACGAAATGCCGTACATTTGAATTGTGTGAGTCATTCCTTCAGACTCATGAAACTGAACTAATAATGTTCCTGGGCATTGTAGCGTGCTATACTGAGTACTATCACTTGAATTCTTGGATGATCGATAGAAATTTTATTTACTATTCACTACAAAGGCTGTATGGAGTATATAGAAAGATACATACACTTATCAAACATAGGAATACATACAAATTCTCGTGTAAGGTGGCCACTATCTATGTACATACTTTGTGCATTCGATTGTTCGGCCATTCGGGGAGGGTATCATAGTTTACTGATCGTTCTCTTTGTAGAATCTGCGCATTTTGACGAAATTCTGAAAAGCAAGCTTATCAGAATTCGAATCAGAAGCACGGTCATCTTATGAATAGCCTTTTTTATGATCGTCAGGTCGTTTGGTCCTCGGATGGTGGTATCTTCTGTCAGCAGGTCCTACTCAGTAACTGGACTCGGCCTTGCCGAATAGAGGCTCTTCCAGAGGGTACACCTATTTTTGTCTTTTCAGCCAGGTTGGTGAAAAATCACAGTTTTTGCACGGCAGGTTGGTACTAGGTTAGGCCGTGTGGCGCATTGATGATTGCTCTTTGATAATAAGTAATACTAGGTAATACCACCTGGTATCAAATGATAATAGGTGGTAGGATGATAATTGTTGGGTACTATACAGATACTTCAAGTGTATCATACGCTGTAGGGTCTGACATCCTTGTGAAGCATCCCGAGAGGCCTCAGTGGCGAAGGGGTTGCCCTAGGTGTGTAGCTCTTTAAGAGGATGCGCTGCCTCACATAGTTGCGCCATATGTTTGAGAATGCATCTGGAGAAGCTATGGAACACCAGGTCAAATTCACTAAAATCCGGTACTAGTTAATGATGACATCACCTGTGGTCGTTGTTGTGCACGGAAAGACGTGTTAGCCGGTATCAGGATGAGATCACCGAATTCGCAGAGAATACGTACCCAGTCACCATTCTAAAAGTGGATTCTATGGCAAGTGATAACTTTCAATAACGGTACTAAGATTCGATAGCTAGTGCGATAACTACTGCATCATTGCCTGCATGGAGGCTGCACATAAACGTATGGGGCGGCTCGTAACTGTAGAGTGTGGGCACACGCACCGGCGAACTGCCCACGTTTAATGTCGGTCAGTCTGCGCTCTCTCACTGGATAGGTGTTCTGTGCTACGTATCGACATACAGCGTACTGTCAGCGAACTATTCAAAGTTACTTTTCCGCGTCAAATGTACATAAGAGCTGCAGAAAACGAATGCAGTTTACCCCATTCTACTACGGTTGTCCATATTGGCGTTTTTATTTCGAGACCGAGACGCCGCAACCGGCAGCGGAACGTTCACCATTTGTGTTTATTTGCTTATTTGTTGTCTGTTGCTTCTTTTAAGGATAACAAATGTGGCCATGCGTCTTGCTG